GGGTTTTAGAAAAGTTGCAAAACAATCAAGAAGACTAGGATTTAATTATAGGAATGAGCAACAGTATAAAGAAAAGATGGATTATCATAGAACTAAACACAAGATTAATCACAGCAAAACAAGAAGAAACTCGAACCTGGAAATAGAAAAAGAAAGAAATCTAAGAAGAAAGAACAAACAAACCACCTATCAACAATAAGACAGAAATTATCATAGTAGAAGAAAAAAGAAAAATACCAAGACTTCAAAGAAAAGAATGAAAGGAAAAAGAAAAAGAAAGCAATACCAAGACAGATGGAAATCTCTTAAAAAAGAAGAAACAACAAATTAGAAAAGAAAGAAGAAGAAAGAAGTGCTTGAGAAACAGGAAAGAGTACAAAATATAGATATAGATACACAAAATACGCCACCAAACACCGATAAAAGAAAAGAAGTCCTAGAAATTAGGAGAAGAAATAGAAGAAACAAGTGAAAGAAAGAAGAAAAGTCAAGATTTGGACAAGATAGAAGATCAGCACAAAGAAACAAATGAAAGAGAATATATATAGAAAAGAAACACACAAATCAAAAAAAACAGAAAAACAAGAAGAAGCAATAGACAATTCAGAGTCACAAAATCAAAGAAGACAAACTAGAAAAAGACAAATTCAAGCAAGACGACTTCGAACCAGAATCCAGTCGCAGAGTATTGAAAGCTGGAAAGTCAAAAAAAGAAAGTAAAGAAGTCTAGAAATAAACTACCAAGAGAAGAAAAGAAGAAAAAAGATGGTACAGAAAAATTAGAGGTATGAAAAAAATAGTATAAAAACTTGAACATTAAAGCTGTTATTAGAAGTATTAGATTAGAATACATACAATATAATAGTAGCGATTCAATATATAATATTGTTCGCAAGTACTGGCTACAGCCAAAGTGTCTTTATGTTGTAAATTATAAATATAATTAGGTAGTTCTGACAAGGCATGTAGCTGCCAGTCGACGACTGCGGGGAAAAAGTCTCTAGGAAGTTAGAGACCCCAAAAGAGGCTAATGGCTACTGAGGCAGGTCGCATCAAGCATAAGCTTGGTGAGCCTTATGTTTGGTTAGATTAGTATAGCTATAAATAAGATTACATGTAATTTTTGAATAGTTTTAATCTCAAATAAACTGAGGCAAATTGCTGAATTATCAAAAAAATAAAAAAAAATATAAATCAGAAGGAAGTAATATTACTGCTAATATGAAAAATATTTTATAATTCTTTATAAATATAAATTTAAAAAACAAAAGAATTAGAATTTGAAATAAACTTAGTCTAGCTACAAGATATAAAAAGCAATAAATTTATGAGATAGTTAATTAGAATTCTAGTTTTAGTATATATTAATAATACTATATATATAGCAATAAGTAGAGAATAAATAAAACTGATAACAGATATTGCAAAAGAGTTTTTTAAAATCAATAATATAAAAATTTTTTTTTTCGATATTAAGGTGATCTCTTGGTCAAGTATGCTTTATTAATTTCAAATATCATTATACATATTTGGAAAATATATTTAGTTATATCTGTATTTTTTGAATACTTATTTAAGTAGTTTGTCTATTACTAGGTTCTATACTAGTTGCTGTATCTGCAATCTACTAGAGAGTTATCTATATAAACCCTCTATGCCTATATACTTCAAGGCCTATATTAATCAGCAACCATTTTTCCAATTCTATAAACTGATCTTTTTGGCATATGTTTATATGATAACTTAGGACTTTAAAACGAACCTCCATTATTTTTATAACCTACTTTTGGTCCTTTATTCTTAAGATAAATCTGGCAAAGTCTGCAGTATTCTTACTTTATGCTATATCTAGTCTGCATTTTAGTTTGGTATGCATGAACTATAGCCTACCACTTGTGGCTCAGTTTGCCTATTTTGAGAGTATATATAGCGCTAGATCGAAGTCCTTGCCTATAGTTTTTCTTTTAGATTAAACTTTTTCTTGCTTCCTTCTATGGTTTTAATCCTAGTTTGGCTAAACTCCGCTATCTAAATCTACTTCTGTCCTTGTAGAGTTCACTCAAACCCAAAACTTACTTTATAGTATATCTCTAGTACTTTAGTAACCTAGCTTTCTTTACCCAGACTTCCAATTCAGATAGCCCGGTATGTAATCACTTATTTTTCTCTGATTTGATAGCAGCTAGTTGATGTTAGTAATTTCATCTATTCATCAATAGCAGGGACTCCAACTCTGGTTCTCGACTTCTAAGCTATAATATAAAAATTAATACAAAGAAGTTAGAGTTGCTAATATTATTTTTAAAAAATAACAAAGATACAAACAAAAATATAGAGTTTAAAAAAAAATCATATCAAGAAAAAAATCAGAAGAGCTAACAAAATATCTAGATATTTAGATATAGTTGGACTTCTCTAAATGCAACCTTTATAAATGCAATACCTCTCTAAATGCATGTTTTTATCTTGGCTGTATGAAATCATTAATGCTAAATACACATTCTATATTTTGCAAATACACATTCACTCAAAAGATTTTTTATATCATACTAATCTCCCTAAGTGCATGTAGCCAATCCAAAGTCAGTATTTAAGTTTGTTATACAAGTTTGCAGATTAAATATTAAAAGCTGCAATTTGATTGGCTCTCTCTAAAT